GTCAAACACTGGAATGAATTGCCCAGGGAGGTTGTGGAATCTCCATCTGTGGAGATATTTAAGAGGAGGTTAGATAAATCTATCAGGGATGGTCTAGACCAGTGGTCCCAACGCTGCGCCCACGGGGGCATTTATGTGCGCCCGCCTAGTGACCAGGGCCGGCCCGAGACATTCGTGCACCCCGGGCGCCTGGCGCATGCACGGCCCCCACCCCGGGCGCGCAGTACATGCGCAGCCCCACCCCCTGGAGCCCCAAGAGGTTGGGGACCACTGATCTAGACAGTACTGGGTCCTGCCATGAAGGCAGGGGACTGGACTCGATGACCTCTCGAGGTCCCTTCCAGTCCTAGTATTCTATGATTCTATAACTCAGAGCAGCTAATGCCCACAAAAGAAGATACCAATAGGATCTGTGGACTGACTCTGCAGGAAGGGAAAAGGAAAGGAGATGGTTTCTTCATGATCAGACTTCGATTTTACTTCTCAGACAACTCTCTCTAAGCCCCCTCCTGTCAAGTGATCTCTGTCTGCACCTCACAACTCCAGCTGTCAGCTCCTTACAGTGAGTTGTACACCCAAGACCAGACTAAGCCTTCTCCACCCCATGATTTCATGTATTTAATACATGTCACAAACCTAACTCCACATGCTTTCCAATTCTCCCAGGAACCAATGTGTTCCTAGGTAGAGTGGCAGTGATGGGAGCAACTGCGTGGGTGTGTGCCTGCAACCCAGCCATGTGCAGGTCAGCCAAAGTCCCATTGAGTAAGCAGCAGGCTTCTGACACACTCCACTGAAACTGCCTGCCTAAGAATTCAGGGCACAGCCACTGTGCTATTTCTGTCTCCCAGAGCAGCATAAATCAAAGTCTAGTATGCAGTTCCTCATAATAAGAACGGCCAGACTGGGTCATATCAAAAGTCCATCTAGCCCAGTATCTTGTCTGCCAACAGTGGCCAATGCCAGATGCCCGAGAAGGAGAGAACAGATCAAGTAATCCCTCTCCCATCATCCACTCCCAGCCTGTGACAGAGGCTAATAGCCACTGATGGACTTAACTTCCAAGTTATCTAGTTCTTTCTTGAACCCTGTTTAAAGTCCTGGTCTTCACCACCTCCTCTAGCAAAGAGTTCCACAGGCTGAGCATGCACTGTGTGAAGAAAAACTTCCTTTTGTTTTAAACCTGCCACCTCCGGGGTGGGCAAGATAGTCTCTGTGGTTTGTATCCAACCCACCAAGCTAGTGAATCTGGCTTGCAGCCACCTTGCCACTCTCCCACCCCCAGGCTAATTGAGACCTGAGGATGGGTGAGTGCACAAAGTCTCCTTCCCCTGCCAGGGGCATGCTGCAGCAGAGAGATCCGCCAGCTGCTCTGAAACAGCAGGAAGTTCTCTCTAGCTGTCACGCACTCCTGGCAGGGCAGGGGAAGAGGGTAAAGGACTTCGCATGCTATCCCCTGAATGGCCTGCTGGTGATTTCTCTCTAGGCGGAGGGGATGAGCAAAGACTTCACGCATGCCCCCACCCCCACGCTAATCAGGGACTGTAGGCAGGGGAGCACAAGAAGTCTCCTGGTCCCACCCTTTCCACCCAAGGCCCTTCCCCCTCCGAAGCAGCCTGGGGCACTTCAGAAATTTTAAATTATTTTAAATTAATAACAATTAATTGCCCACGCCCGTGCTATCAATTTAATTTGGTGGCCCCTACTTCTTATGTTATGGAAACAAGTACATAACACTTCATTATTCACTTTTTCCACACAGAGGTTTTATAGACCTCTATCATATCCCCTCTGTCAGCCAACGGTCAGGGCAGTGTGTGTGGGTATGTCTCCTAAGTCTTCAACTGCTAAGACACGAAGTCTCGTCGCAGCGGGCAGCCCAGAAGGCTGAAAGGAGCCCCGAGTGTTTTTAACGTCCCCCCCGGGCTGCCACTGGGGCTGGAGCTCCCTGGCCGTGGGGGCTAGAACAGGGCCAGAGCTCTGTGGTTGGAGAGTTCCAGCCCTAGTGACAGCCAGGGGAGCTCTGGCCCCGTCTGCAGAGCTCCATTCCTGGTCAGAGAGCCAGGGAACTCTGGCCCTAGCCATGGAACTCTGGCCTTGGCGGCAGCTAGAGAACCCTGGAAGGCTGTGGTAGCAGAAGGGCTGGGCTGGAGCCCTAGCCTGGGGGCAGCAGGGCAACATGGGCCAGTAGGGGAGGGACCTCCCCTGATCTGGCAAATCCCCTCATTTGGGACCAGTCAGGTCCTGCAGGTGCCGGACCAGAGAGGCCCAACTTGTAGTAAAAAAGAATCCAACCTCATGTGCATGCACATAGAGAGTAGTATCTATGTGGATAAAACATTTTGAAAAGTCATAGTCAAATAACCATTTTTGTTTGTTTTGGAAGAAGCTACATGCATTTTCAGAAACTGATTGTTTTGTAAAGTAGTAACTTATGAAATTCTTGGTAGTATATCCAGTTAATGTATTCAAATTATATACCTGATACGCTTTTCATTTGACTACACCTATTTAAGTAACTTTCAAAAAATGTTCTAATTTAATTTAGTCTAAAATGCTACTGAAAAACATATTGAGTACAGTGTCTCATTTCCTGCCAACTGTTTCCTCTCAATGGGTCTCTTGTGCCCATATCGAATAAGTTATATGTTCAGGGCCAGAATCAACACAAAAATGCTTTTTTGTCTTTAGATCACTTAAAATTCTTAGAAAATTCAGTAAAGCCCTGACCATGCAAACACTTATGTACCTGCTTGAGAAGATATTTCTCACATTTGGACCATTTTGTCCAAGAAATCCTTTCATAGACTGATCTCCTTTACCAACACCTCAGGCTACCTGTACGCAGTTCGCAAAATCTTTTGATTTGTAAATCATCTGGAATACCCATGAGAAGAATTGGTAGTCAAAAGACAATAGCTTGAGACTTACAGTTTGGTTAAATTTAAAATGTACAAAAAATGTCATTTAAAAATTTTTTCAAATTGAAATGGTATAATATGTGATATTAAGTATTCTTTTTAGTGTTCCTTTTTTAAAAAATCCATATAATTTTGGAAAAGTGCAGCAATGTGTCAGAATAACTGATGCATCGGTATGTCACATCTCTGAAGATTTTGACAAGGAATTTTTTTTTCCTCAGCAAATTTGACAGGACATGCAGAGAAGGTGGGCATTGAAAACTTCGAACTCTTGAAAGTTCTTGGAACAGGAGGTAAGACTTTTTTTTTTTAAGATGACCTTTGAAAGTGATTCTCTATCCCTTTTTAATGATACCTAGCCTTCTATTTGTTTTTTTGACTGCCGCTGCACACGGAGTGGATGGTTTCAGAGAACTATCCACAATGACTCCACGATCTCTCTCTCGAGTAGTTGAAGCTAAATTAATCTCCATCATATTGTATGTATAGTTGGGATTATTTTTTCCAATGTGCATTACTTTACATTTATCAACATTAAATTTCATTTGCCATTTTGTTGCCCAATCACTTAGTTTGGTGAGATCTTTTTGAAGCTCTTCACAGCCTGCTTTGGTCTTAACTATCTTGAGCAGTTTGGTATGATCTGCAAATTTTGCCATCTTAATATTTAGTCCTTTTTCCAGATCACTTATAATTAATTGAACAGGATTGATCTAAGTACAGACCTTTGGGGGACACCACTAGTTACTTCTCTCAGTTATGAAAATTGACCATTTATTTCTACCCTTTGTTTTCCGTCTTTTAACCAGTTATCAATCCATGAGAGGATCTTCTCTATTATCCCATGACAACTAACTTTACTTAAGAGCCAGACAGTGAAGGGATCAGCCCAGTTGGACTGGTAATCATGCTGCAGATGGGCTGGGAAAGTGGAGAGAACCTCGTGGGGCTGAAACCTCTACCGACTGGTTGCTCTCTTCCATTCTTAACCCCCACACAAGGGGAGGAAGCTGCACTTCTACACTGGTACACTTTTTATTATGCAAAGGGGAAAGATAAGACTGCAAGTTTCATAGTGTTTCCCTACTCTTACAAAATGTTGGATATGAGGCAGCTACACAGCTGTTCTGCCATTACGACTTTTCATTGACTCCCCATTCTGTTTCACTATGGCTACGTCTACACTGGCATGATTTTCCGAAAATGCTTTTAACGGCAACCCACCTCTCTGAAAACAAGGACCAAAACTGAAAGTGTTCCTTCCAAAGGTACAGAATTACTGTAGGATTTCTACCCTCCAGCTAATCTCCACAGGAATTATAAATACACTTGTTGAAAGACTTTACAAAAACTCAACCGTAAATAATTTTTTCACAAGGACAGAGTTCCTGATGCTATAAATCTAAAGCTAGAGAAATGACCCTGTTTGTAAAACACAGAAGGCTTCCTGGAAATATAGCACTCTGTAGGTTCCTATGTTTACTTTGTGAAATATCATTCTGCATGATTTCATTGAGAAAATTAAAGTAAATGCTAAGAAATCTACAACATGCAAATTTAGTTACACTGTGGTCATGTTGTTCAAAGATATTCTATTTAACGATTAGAGATATTAGAAATGGATGCTCATTCTTTCCAATTCATTAAGCCTAAATATAAGACAATATAAATTTTGTCAGCTCAAAAAAATCTATATTCTAGTTATTTAAATAATAGCATTGCTTGATCACTAAGGCTACATTTACACTGCTTCCCTCTCGCGGAAAAGGAAATGCAAATGGAACATATGTCACACACATTTGCATATCCTCTTCTGATCCTTTTCGTGGAAGAGGTTTTTGCACAAAAAAATGCAGTGTAGATGGGGTCATTTTGCACAAAAAAAACCCTTTTGCGCAAGAACCCTGTAAATCTCCTTTTTTGAGGGATAAGGGTTCTTGAAAAAAAACCTTTTTGCGCACAAAATGGCCCCATCTACATTCAAAATGGCCCCCATCTACACTGCAGGTTTTTGCGCAAAAACCTCTTCTGCAAAAAAGCTCGGTCGAGACTATGCAAATGAGCACACGAGAAATGCTAATGAGCGCTCCATTTGCATTTCCTCTTCTGCAAGAGGGAAGCAGTGTAGACGTAGCCTAAATGTTGAATTATTTGAATTTTATTTATGAACAGCATAAGATTTTATTTAGAAAATAGTAGGTCTGGTGGATCTTCCTATTTTAAAATATAAAATGTTTCTATTGGCATAACATTAGCTCAGTTTTGATTCAAATGCAAAGCGAATCCTTAAAAAGCTAGATGGGTAAGTAATTTTTTGGAAAATGTGTGTGCCTTCTTTTGTTAAACTCCAGGTAGGTATATGCAGAAAAGTGTACTAGAACATATTCTACATGCAAAGCATTAATCTATATCGACTACAGTGTCTCTTCTTTTTATTCAATCATCAATTTTCCTTTTAAGTACAAGCCAGTATTGCAGCAATACTGTATTATCTGTATAGTGCTGCCAGTAGCATCCTGGCTCAATTAGCACAATCCCCAGCAAGCGATTCACTGTGCAGAGAGAACCTGTATCTGGCTCTTTCAGGAGAAAGCTTTTGAGTCTACCGAAAAGATATTTTGTTACTGCCGTTATGGCAGAATTTACATGCTGACTGAGGCTTGTATGTATTATCCTAGAAAAGGCACTCACAATTTCAATGCACTGACATTGCATGAAGTGCCAGGAACAATATTTTCCTTATTGCATCAACATTAGACATTACATAGGTCCTATGCATTTTACCCTCACCACACACAGTCTCAATTATGGGACTGTATTATGATTCTTAATGACATAACTCCACCATAATTACCCTACTAAGCACTTACAATGCTTGCATCCCAAGAATGATATAAAACAGGGAAAGGGCTTTCTTTATAAGTAGGTTTTTTCATTTAAAAAAAGTCAAGGCCTTTTTGCAATCATCTTGGGGAGATCTATTTATCTTTTAGACTGTCTCCATTCATGTGGCTATTTTTAATATTGGCCAATTCTCCGCTTTTTAACATTTTCAAATAATCACGTGGCCCTTTCCCTTCAAAGGATGAGGGATTTTTGTAGGATCCCCCAATTTTATCCCAGAAAGTAAAATACTGACCGTAGTTGTAATCAAAATACAAGTGATGATCGGTGTGATGGGCAGAGCCATTGATAATGTGTTTCAAGAAATTTGGGACGCGGTAATCGCCATCATGAATAGAGATTGTCCAGACATTGACAGCGACGTAGAGACCCAAATAGGTCACCTTGTGCAAAGGGAAGAGGAAAGGATAGATATGATAGGGAATACTCTGCAGGAAGCCATCCAGAGGGTGAAAGGCGTGACTTGCAAATGGCGTAGCAACCTTCCAGCGGTGATGGGGCTTGTGCAGACGCTACAGAAGAACAGAACAGAGTTAGTGTCTAGATTTTGAAATGGCAAAAAAAAGTCTGGGTTTCAATCTGGCACCTCCTACCTCTACTCTTCCTTCCATGTGTCTTGGAATATGTCTAACTGCATTTTACTGTAGCTCTATTTCTTCCTTGTCCCTCCCTCTTCTTGTGAACTGACACACATAGCTTATAGTGGTAGATGGTCACATGAAAATAGCAGGATGGCCACAGAGGCACAGATGGCAATTTGGGCTAGTGTCCCAAGTCTGTACCCAGGAGATCGGACAGGCTACACGAATCTGTGGCCACACCACTATTTTTAGCATGCTAGTTTGAGCAGAGTCCAGTGGCTGTGCAGACATACCTCACCTGCAAACAAGCAACATCTGGAATCAAGTCCAAACGGCAACCCTGCCATTTGCTGTATTGAAATCACTACTTCCAAGATCAATGTCTGACTGAAAATTACACTTTGCATCTAGAGTTTGCTTTCAAGATTTGAACATAGTTAATGAGTCAGATAGGCTAACTCTAATCACTCTACTTGGAAGCTGAAGCAAAATGCAGGACAATGTAGCACTTTAAAGACTAACAAGATGGTTTATTAGATGATGAGCTTTCGTGGGCCAGACCCACTTCCTCAGATCAAATCAAGTGGGCCTGGCCCACGAAAGCTCATCATCTAATAAACCATCTTGTTAGTCTTTAAAGTGTTACATTGTCCAGCATTTTGCTTCAGCTACCCCAGACTAACACGGCTACATTTCTATCACTATTCTACTTGTAAGGACACTACTAAGAGGACACTACTAAGTGGAATCTTTCCCCTGAGGTTAGTGGCCTTCAGATCTGGCCCTAAAAGCATAACATAGGAATATATATATTTTTAATTTTAAGCTAACATAAGCGTGGCCCTGGTAATAGCATTATAGAATACTAGGACTAGAAGGGACCTCGAGAGGTTATCAAGTCCAGTCCTCTGCCATCTAGACAGTACTGGGTCCTGCCATGAAATACAGCTACAGTAAAATGCAGTTAGACATATTCCAAGACATATAGAAGGAAGAGTAGAGGTAGGAAGTGCCAGATTTTCTTGCCATTTCAAAATATGTATCTTATGTTAGCTTAAAATTTAAAAAAATATATACTCCTATGTTATGCATTTAGGGCCAGATCTGAAGGCCACTGACCTCAAGGGAAAGATTCCATTTTACTTCAATGGAGTGTATCAGTGACACTGTACTCTTCATCCACAATCTCAGTACAAGCAATCCTAACCAGTTCACTGTGGGTTAAGTTATGATTGCAGTTTATCAACATGGAAACTGAGGCAGAAAGGGGGGTGTGATTTATGCTAGGACATAGGGACATTTTTGGAACTGGATTCAAGCATAAGAGCTCCTGGTGCCTATACACACGCTCAGACCATGAGCAGAAACCTAAAAGGCTCCCTTACATTATATCACCATTGGGCTATAAAGAATTAAGTATGTGAACAGCCCTAGTTAATCTCCTGGGATTACTCATGTGCATGAATTGAGACCTATAACTTTTATTTTTCTATTGACAAGTATGACAGTGTGTTTCAAGATTGACATACTTGACTATAAAGTATTCAACCAAACCACACAGAGGTGTGTGAAGGGAAGCAGAGCAGCCTAAAAGAGCTGGTCCAGCCTCTTTGGACTCCCATTGCAAAGTCCAGCACAGGAAAAGGGATGGGAAAGATGTGTTCAAGGAAGGCTGTAGCACATAGCAGCACTGTCAGAAAGAGGGTAGCAAGGACAGGCTCCCATGCCTTAGATACATCTTCGTGGCTTCTATCCTCAGAGCAGCCCAGGATCAGGTAGGCAAAAGGTGATTAAAGCCACTTAGCCCCCCTATCTCTAGGCTGCAAATTCTGTGTTACACATCAGAGAATCTAAGGACATGTCTCCACCTCTGGGAAGATTGATACTGTGGCGCTCAATCTTCTGGCATTCAATTTAGTGGGTCTAGTAAAGACCCACTAAATTGAATGCTGAGGGCACCCTCATTAACTTTGGAACTCCTCACAGTTGCAAGGAGTAAGGGAAGCCAGCAGGAGTTTCTCCCATCAACTTTGTGCTTTGCAGTTGCCCCAGAAATTCGATGCAATGTCCTGTGACTCCAGCTATGTAATTAATGTAGCTGGAATTTCATATCTTGCATCCATTTTCTCTGCCAGAAAAAACCTGGCTTTAGTATTCAGAGTAAAATCAAGCACCCAGCAAAATGCCATTAAATTAAAGATAGTCTTGCTAAACTGCCATTGAAGTATACTAAACCAGACACAATCTACTTTTCTGTCCTATCTAACGATGCTAGATAACGAAAAACAGTATTTTACTCAGACCCTCCTGGCAACTGCCTGCCTCTAGTTTTACAAAGTTGTTTTGAAGTCTAGCACGCTTTATATCTGTATCTAGAGCTTTATCATACCTTGTACACAAGTTTATGATGAAGGAACCTGTGAATCCAGTAAATGCACATGTCAGTGAAGAAAAGGAAAGAGAGCATGCTAAGGATTACGCCAAACCATCCTAGGAAAAATAAGAAACTTAATTAGGATTTTAAGAGATTACAAACAAGTGTCAAGATTGTGAGAAATATGTCTCTAAGATGGTACAAGGAAAATATGTCAAATCTTTTTGCAAAATGTCTTTAGTTATCCTGAGGCTAAATCATTTAGGTTATATAGAGCAAACTCAACCAAATGGGATTTGCATTGTACTTGTATAGCAATTCTTGCTGGTGAAAAGTTCTCTGATTTCTTTTAGGCTTTAAAGTGCTGAACTGAACCTAATGGTGAAAATTTCAGTGGTTTCTCTCATCCACAAAGTGAAATGATCTCATCACCATCCTCCTAAAAACACATTAGTACTTAAAGGACACTGTCAAGTACATAAAATTATACCTGCATTCTCTCTCTATCACACCTCCCACCCACCCACCAGCACATAGAAACACAGATTAAAAAGACAGGATGTTTTCCCAAAACGTGAAGACAGAAAGCACTGAAAGACAATATGTTTTGTTTTCACTTTGGAAACAGTACACAGACTAGAGAAAGGCAGCTAAGCGACAGTCTCCTAGTGTATAGATGTTTGATGATTATTTAATGATAAACAAATGCCCTTATACCACTAACACCTTCAAAGTGATAACTATAACTATTTTCTTTGTTGCTAGTTTACATTTTGTATTTGTCACCTGGCTAATGAAACATCAGCTTTGTCTACCCCTCTAAGATTCAAATGCTGTTGCGGCAACAGTTTAATGTGGGAGTGTGGTCACAACAAGAGCACTAGGAGATAGGTAAACCAGTAGATCAACCACCTCCACAAAGGAAGCCTGCTTCCATTAGCACTTTACAGAGTTGTTACTTACTGCGCTTGGAGAAGGGGTGTTATTGTCATACCAGTGAGCAAGAAAGTTACAGTGCTGTGTAGACAAGCCCCTAGTGAAGTCTGTTTCCTTGTGTTCTCTTATCTCTCTGCTGTATCCATCTCACGTCTCTTATGCTATGCTTACATTGAAAGCTTTTGGGGATGGAACCAGATGTGTGAAAGTACTAGGGATGTGAAATGTCAACCAGTTACCATTACCAACGGGGGCTGGAGCAGCCCCACAGGCAGGGCCGGCCTTAGGCTGATTCGATCGAATCAGGCCCCGCGCCTAAGGGGGCCCCGCGCCCCTGAACCCAGAAGTGCCGGCGAGTTACAGAGCTGGATCTCTCCCCAGCTCTGCCCGGAGCAGGAGCAGGCCTCGCCGCCTGCTGCTGCCCATGTGCAGCGTTGCACATGGGCGGGGAGGACGCCCGGGCGTGACGTGACGTCACGGCCCGGGATTTTAAAAGTCCTGGGAAGCACGTTTCAGGACCTCGCTGGCTCCAGGTTCCGCCTCCGGGGCCTGAGCACAGGGCCCCACAATGTGGAAGGCAGAAGGGAGGGAACAGGCTTGTGCAGCGGCGGCAGCAGCAGGGAGGGGGGAAGGGAAGAGGCTTAGGGTTAGGCAGGGAGGGATGGGAGGAGAGGAGGCAGCGGCGGCAGGGGAGGGGCGGAGGTGGGGGACAGGGGAAGGGGCTTGGGCGGGGGGAGGAGAAGGCACTAAGGGTCTGTCTACACTACAGCACTAATTCGAACTAACTTAATTCGAATTAATTAATTCGAACTAAGCTAATTCAAACTAGTGCATCTAGACCTAAAAACTAGTTTGAATTAGCATTTTGCTAATTCGAACTAGCATGTCCACATTAAGTGGACCCTGAACCGGGGTTAAGGCTGGCCGGAAGCAGTGCCGGCAGGGCATCAGATTAGG